TTAAAAAAATATACCATTAAATACCAGAAAAACTGGAAAGTCCAATAAAAAAATAAGAAACTAATAAATTAGATGTTATTGTATATTTGATAACATTATCATTTTATCTATTTTTTGTGTTAATACTTTTTGTTTTTAATTTTGTATCTTGATACATTAAATCAATTAAGCACTCGCCAGACGAATTCGATCCACACTCTATTTTCCTATGTTTTCACAAAAGTGTCTATCAACAGTCTATCTGTCTAATAATAAAATACTACTTCTACTCATAAAATGTACAATTTTCTCTAAAGAATAAAAAAAAGACTCTGTTGAAACAAAGAAATAAATACTCGCAGAGTTGTTTTCCAGATACGGTTGCTCGGAGGCAAACGCTGACTGTGCAGTGTTCTTTAAAATCGCTCCCTCGGTTTGCCGCATAAATATGTGAACGTTTACTCACCGGCTTACCATTTTTTTTTTCGTTTAAAAACGGTCAGAAATGTCTCAAGTGATCAAATACTAAGGTACAGTAAGGTACCGATCAATTCCCAGGATATATTTGTCGCTTCGTAATCAACTTAAAATATTTATAGCAATCGATTATCCAATTAATCCCTCAGCGAAGTTGTCTAATTATAATTGGCTTGAAAAAAAAATTAAAGGACGTGAAAGTGCTAGGGGGAGGCCTTACCCATTGTTCCACCGAACAAAAGAAAGTTATCAAAACTGAGAACAAAAACATCTGTCAATAACTGTATCATTGAACAAATCAATAATTAAGCAATTATTTGTACAAATTTATCTTGTTTTGAGCAAATCGTATACTTAATTGTATACAGATCTTCCAAATTTGTCAGTCTAGGGGAGAAAAATCGGCTGGAACTTTCTTTTAATTAGTCTGGAGGGTGAAGATGAGAGGTCACGAGGGCATCGTCGTTTTAGTCGGGTTGGAGTACTATAAGGGTGGAACGTTGAGGAAATAATTTGGGCTTGGTTAGGGTGGAGGGATAGTTTAGAGTAGAAATTGAGTAAGCCCTTGAAGAAATGGAATTTTAAGATATTTATGAATGATGACGTAGAAGGGAGGGGTTGAGTATACTTTGGATTGAAAGAATTGGACATGTTGGATGTTGGATGATTTGGCCGAACCACAAAGTTCGACTCCGTAGGTTTAAATCGGTGTGATGAGTGTTACGTAAGCGGTTAGTATGCTAAGCTTAGATTACAATTAATTAAGGTTTTTAGTTGAGATGAAAAAAAGTTAATGGCACGAGCGGGATTCGAACCCACGATTTTCGGCTAGATACGCCGCTGCTCTACCACTTGAGCTATCGTGGCCTCGATCCACTCGGACATCAACTTCCAATCTCAACCCCACCTTATGAGTTTTCCCTCCTTTTTGCCATTTTTCAAATGTCGTGTAATCGGATTGGATTCTCGACGACAAATGAAATGGCTTCATTTTAATTCATTAAATTCACTAATTTCGTGGTGCGCTTGACCAATTGATACATTACAATTAATTAAGGTTTTTAGGTGAGATGAAAAAAAGTTAATGGCACGAGCGGGAAAAATGGCAAAAAGGAGGGAAAACTCATAAGGTGGGGTTGAGATAGGAAGTTGATGTCCGAGTGGATCGAGGTCACGATAGCTCAAGTGGTAGAGCAGCGGCGTATCCATCCGAAGATCGTGGGTTCGATTCCCGCTCGTGCCATTAACTTTTTTTCATCTCAATTAAAAACCTTAATTAATTGGTCAAGCGGAACACGAAATTAATGAAGTTAAGCTTAGAGTTGCTTTTGGTCCTGGTAGGTGTCAGAGTAGATTGTTAAGTTCCATATAAGTCCGTCATGCAAGTAAAGTCCTAGGTAGCAGACTTGGTTAGATTGTAGTATTACCTCGTTGTTTATGTGCACTTGTGGCAGGTCGGACGTTTGAGCGTAAAGTTTGTGGTTTTGTGTTCAACCGAGTGCAACAGTCGGCAATGACGTTCAGAGTCCTTAGATTGCTGAACGAGGTTAGTGCACCAATCAGAAATCAGGTTACTGATGTTGGAGTGGTTCATTGGCTAGGATAAGATTGGCGTGTCGTCGGCATAGGTTGTCAGTTTTCTTGGAAGTGTAGGTATGTTTAGATGGTGTAGAAGATTGGCCCTAGGATACTTCCTTGTACAACGTCAGCTTAGATTGGCGTCATGAGTGGAAAATCCATGCCCATTCTCACTTTAAACCATCGATCCGAGAGGAATGACTTCAGGATGAGATAGTAGGTGTAAGAAAGGATGTGTTTTAACGTTTAAAAGAGACCTAAATAAATAATATAATAAAGACCGCTTTATGTTTCGAAGGTTTGATTTTACAATAAAAATAACAAATTAAATTTTTTTTAAATCGCCACACTATGGTTACACAATCAAGACGGGATTAAAAAGCAGAAAAGAGGCGTGACTTCTATGTAGAAAAAATATGTAAGCAATATTTTATCCACTCTTAATTAATTAAACGCTAAACTCAGAAGCTTTCGCTCCCATTTGATCAGTTTTAATAACAAGAAAAGTTGTTTTTAACGATCCATAGCTTCCGGAGGAATATTGTTTTTGCGAAAAATAAAATTCAGCCGGATAATGAAAAGAACGGGTTGCTTAGATAATAATCGGATAATAATTCATATTTGTTTCATCTGTTTAATGGCGGAACTTACAAAAATCAATAAAGGACATTCTAAAACAATGGGATTTTGTTTCACGGGAGCTTATCGTCTTTTAAAGTCACATCTGTCCCTCTTTGTAAGCAAACTTTTGATTTAAATACGGCGATCATATCTGTTCTGTCTGCGATATTAATCTGTTTATTGCTGCTTCTTTGGAACATTATAATTCCTTACGGGCTGTGGCATTGTATCCAGGAAACTGTGGGAAAATACCAACGGATGAGAAAAAAGTATCGATATTTTACTTGTATCGGGTTTTCATGAGCGTTAAGAAATTTCTTTCGAAACATTCACTCATGCACTTTAGGTTAAATACATTTGTATATTATATTTTTTTATTGTGGAGTTAGAGTAAGAAGAGAAAGAAGAAATTAATCACGTTTCATAGACAGGCTTTTTGTGACCGTTTTCGGGTTTTCCACCACTACCAGCAGAAACGTACGTTTTGATTGACTCTCACGGTAAATTACACAATAGGAAGGATTCTTCGGCAGTTCAGAGAAACAGTGCTTCAGACTTAAACGCCAGGGCAGGGTCGACCTAGGACAAGAAAGACGATAGATTCATCCGTCCTCGGGCTCTACAAAATCGCAGGATTTCGGGAAATGAGATGCGTTCCCACTGGGGTAGCGTGCGAACCTGGCCGATTAGACCCTATCACACGTTTTAGATTCTCAAGTTAGGAGCGACTCACCTCCGCGCACGGAAAATCTGCTGCTTCCGTGAGGTTCGGTGAAGAAGCCCACATCATCCTGCAGCAAACAGCCGACATGTCGATTTCTCCAGCTTGCCCCTTCCGAGGGGGTGGGTTAACGTTGTGCACCTAACCAGTGACGCGCTGGATTCCCAAAAGACGGTCGAAATGCTTCGGCCCAGTCTCCCACGCACTCCTTAGATAGAGACGACAACTATCTTCCTGTGTGTAGGGGCTAGCGTCGAAACATCCGGATATGCTCCGGCCACGGTTTCGATTTTAGTGGAATCTCTAACCACCCCCTGAGGAGACCATACCAATGGTAAAGCAGCTCTGACGGCCGCCACCGACAAACACCCGCCCCCGTCCACCATTCCTCACGCATTCGTGGAACGCCGGCAGCGTAGTCATAGCTAATCGGGAAATGGGATAAGAAATTTGATAAGACAAGTCCGAAATGTTTCGATTTACTCCAAAACTGTAAGACCTCATCCGGCTCAGGGACCTCTTCTTACCGCAGCTCAGAATTTGCAAGGGAACATGTACATTGGACATTGGAATATTGAGAACGAGTTTTCTTTTTACATGACATAAGAGTTGGCCTCAAATCATCAGATGGGTGTAATTTCATTTGGACCCTTCTGTGACATAGGAACCCACACTATCAATACCTCAGACAGAAGGATAAAAAAAAATTAGGGAATAAACTGCGACAACTAAGGACACTGCAAACTAAACGGACATTTAAAGAAGATCGGTATGACCCAAGATGGCACGTGCAGATTCTGCAAAGAAGCAGAGGAGACACCAACACACCTATTAACAAAATGTGGTGCTATACTTGTTCGCCGGAGGAAATGTACTGTGACGTACAATGTGACGAAGAAATTCAACCACTGGAACCAGGCCTACTAATCAAGTTCCTTGATGAAATAGGACTTACCAGTGTGCTATAGTCACAGAACGGGGGATGCGATAGTGCTTAAAAGGCACAGTATGTTACACCCCGACTAATACTTCTACAATTTTATATGGAGGTGCTGAGAAGAATTGTGGGGTGACATTTCCTCGGACGCCCGGACCGAATAAGTTGTGCGAGAAAGATCTCTAACTTCACGGAGGTACTTACAAACCATAATCGAACAACATGTAGTGCCATTTGCCTCCGCCCACATCGGTGATTCCTGCTAATGCAGGAAAATGCCAGGCCACATTGAGCACGTATTGTGGATGTCTACCTGAATGAGGTTGGAATTGGATGCTTTGTGTGGCCAGCTCGAAGTCCAGAGTTGAACCGAATCGAACACATTTGCGACCAATTTAGGCAACTAGTACGACGGTGAAACCCACGTCCTAACGCCTCAGAAGAGTTGGATAATTGGGAAAGAATTCCTCAGGATTTTATCAGGAATCTTTTACAATGAAAGACGTTAAGGACGTCTATCTTGTATCTAAAGATTACAACTTTAGGCTGTTTGAATGCTTGAATATAAATCGGTAATATAGAATCATAAGACAGCTTTTTAGGCTAAATATTGATAAAAATCTCTTAATTGCAAACAGCTCTGCAAAAAGGAAACTGCTTTTAATAATAGAAAGATGAAATACTCACAGAGTCGTCAGTTGTTTCAGATGACTGAAACTCCCCGGTTCCAAGCTTCGTATTTTGTTGAACCTCAGATCCCTGGAACAAAAGAAAATGTCGATTATTCGCTTGTTTTATTTTTCTTCCTTCCACCATCACAAAACTCGGCCGATCGTGAGGAGGATTTTTCGATCGCGCTTCACGGGCCGTGAACAGGCCGGCATGGCCGGCAGCCACATGCTATCTGGCGACGAAGATATTAAGAGAAGGTTGAGATCCAAGATAGGGGCGACAAACGTGCACCGACTTTATTATCAGATGAGACCGGTCATCTCACATATTAAGGCAGAGACCGTAAATTACGAAATTTGGAAAAACTGACGCGATTTTTTGTTTAAGACCGTCTGTTCAAATTATACAAAAAAGAATAAAATTAGAAATTGGATTTTAATTCAATCATTCCTCTTTCTTTAATCTACAAATTAAGATGGGAATTTCAAAATCCCCAAAAGCTTTGGGATTTCTTTTTAATAAAAAAGGATTTAGAAGAATGCGATGATTTATATTAAACCGGAGGTGTTCTCGGCGTGTCATAAATGTCTTTTAAATACTAATTAATTTTTGCCGTCGGCTTCATTCTCAGCCTTCTTTTTCTCTATTTAACATAAAATCCGGAATTACTTAAATACACGTCCGGACACATCTAGCCTATTAATTAAATCCCGTCCGTGGCGAGGGGTCATTAGTCCCTGTTTAATCCCTAAATTAAAAGGCTTTATTTCTCCTCAGCTTCTGTTCTCAACTTCTTTAGTTGTGTCGAATAATTTAATAGGTAATCACGCCTTTGGATGAAACACACCTAACACATTGTTTACTTCATGATTTCTAAAACGGAAACAATGCAACTGAAAATTTGTGTGCAGTGTTTGGTATGCGGTGAATGTTGCTAAAATGGCAAGGTGGTTTGACCGATTTGTAGAGAGAATTTTTGTTCCTTGAAGACGATGCTCGCAGTGAACGTCCTGCTGAGGTTGACGATGACATATTGAGGCATATGCTTGAAGAATTGTTGTCTACAACTCTGAAACCTTGCTGGACAGTTGAAAGATTTTACATGTATTAAACATTTTAAAAGGAGTGTTTCCAGGATTGGACACCACATACAGACTGATGGACCCTATGGTCGGTACGGGTTTCTAAAGAAGGTTTTTGAAGTATTGTGGAGGTCCAGGGATTCTTATACTTGGTTTGGTCCTTGTTCGAAAGGTTTGCGATGGAGTGATGTACAGAGATAAAGGATTCCTTGTTGTGCCAAAAGAGTCGGATTATTGGATTGGTCAAGTGATTTTTATACTTGGTTTGGTCCTTGGTCGAAAGATTTGCGATGGCGTGGTGTAAAGAGATTAAGGATTCCTTGTTGTGTCAAAAGTGTTGGATTGATCCAGGGAATTTTGTACTTGGTTTGGTTCTTGGTTGAAAAGTTTGCGATGGAGTGGTTTACAGAGATAAAGGATTCCTTGTTGTGCCAAAAGTGTTGGATTGGTCCAAGAATTTTTATACTTGGTTTGGTCCTTGGTCGAAAAGTTTGCGATGGAGTGGTTTACAGAGATAAAGGATTCCTTGTTGTGCCAAAAGTGTTGGATTGGTCCAGGGATTTTTATACTTGGTTTGGTTCTTGGTCGAAAGATTTGCGATGGAGTGGTGTACAGAGATTAAGGATTTCTTGTTGTGCCAAAAGTGTTCGATTGATCCAGTGATTTTTATACTTGGTTTGGTCCTTAGTGGAAAGGTTTACGATGGAGTGGTGTAAAGAGATTAAGGATTCCTTATTGTGCCAAAAAAGTCGGATTTTTGGTCCAGGGATTTTTATACTTGGTTTGGTCCTTGGTCGAAAAGTTTGCGACGGAGTGATGTACAAAGATTAACGATTCCTTTTTGTGTCAAAAGTATTGTATTGATCCAGGGAATTTTGTACTTGGTTTGGTCCTTGGTTGAAAAGTTTGCGGTGGAGTGATGTACAGAGATTAAGCATTCCTTGTTGTGCCAAAAGTGTTGGATTGTTGGGTTGCCTATATGTTGGATTTTTCATTACCTCTGACCCACGATCCAATAAGTAAAAAAAATTGTTTTAAGAGTATTAACTTTATTTAGTTTTTAATTAAATTAACAATTAGCAGACCCCAGACTAATGTCAAGTGTGCTATTAGGCGCTAGACAGGTTTTGCGTCACAAAACTTTTAAACTTTAACATTTATTGCATGAATACCCCTGTTAATTAGTACAAAATAATATTAAACTTCTTACAATTTGGTAAAATTATGCACAGCAGTTTGTATTATTTGTGATTAAGTTAAATATATCCCTTCTTATTTAATATTACATGCAAGAGCCAATTTGTCGTGGATGCTGCCTAGTTAATACTGTCTAATCAATCAATCAAATCAAATATTTACTTGTTCCTAATAGTGTTGAAATAACGTTGTCGAAACTGGGGTGGAAAATTTTGGCCTGTCGTGTTCTAATTGCTGATGGATGGGTCGTCATATTCAAATGAGATTAGTAATGTTAAACACAAAAACACATATATTTAAATTATCGATGGATATCTTTTATTTAAATAGAACAGAGAGGGAAAAAATACATCAGAATGGTACAGAAGGCACGTTGAAATGGGAAACAAAACTCCAAAAGACGAGCATAAATGACTCCATAACTTTCTAGACTATAATGAGACATTGAACCAACGAACACGACAAATAATTCCAATGTAAAAGTTTTCCAGTTCTGCTTTTCACCCATGTGATTTTGCGCAAAAAATTGATGATTACTAAGAAGAATATTATTTGTATAGCATTATTTTTTCTTCAGTATGTATAGAACATATAGAAAACAAGCCTGAATATGATTTATTAACATTAAACAATATATAATACAAGTATAATCTATAAATTAGGCCTCTTCGGAAAAACCTGGATTATTTCGCTTCGTTCTGATATCGATCCAGTTTCTCTTTTGTCCTGTAAATTAGATTGAGCATTATGCTCATTTAATTTAGTCTTCCCACTTACAAGGGCCGAATGATCTTGATCTGCTTGGCTCGGAGTCAGTCTCGTATGCGACCTTTGGGCGACGCCCAAGTCAATGCTCCGAAATGAATGAAAGGTATTTTTCGAACTGGGTGCACATTTTTGTGTGCTGACACAGTTCAAGTAAGTCTGACTTGCTTCGTTGAATATGTACTGTTATTGTTGTTGTAATTAGTTTACACGCAATTTTATGAGCAAATATTGTTGATAAATGAGGAAAGAAAAGAGTATTTTTTCGGTTTTGGTTGTGGATAATCAACAGTTCAATCAGACTACACAGACCCAAACTGACTTTTATCATGTATTTTTTCTCTCTTAGTATTCGCCTACTAATTATATATTCACTACTACACAGGCCCAAACTGTCTTTTATCATATACTTTTTTCCTCTTAGTATTCACCTACTAATTCTATATTCACTACTACACAGACACAAACTGATTTTTTTCTCTTAGTATTCACCTACTAATTCTATATTCACTATTACATAGACCCAAACTGACTTTTTTTCTCTTATTATTCACCTACTAATTCTATATTAACTACTACACAGACCCAAACTGATTTTTTTTCTCTTAGTATTCACCTACTAATTCTACATTCACGACTACATAGACCCAAACTGACTTTTTTCCTCTTAGTATTCACCTACTAATTCTATCGGGTTGTCCGGAAAATAATGCAGGATTTTAAGTTTTCATTAAAAAAAATCTATATAAAATATTCTGTTTACGTTTACAGGATTACTCATTTGTATGAATGTCAACACTTATNCCTACCAATTCTATATTCACTACTACACAGACCCAAACTGATTTTTTTTCTCTTAGTATTCACCTACTAATTCTTTATTCACGACTACATAGACCCATATTGACTTTTTTCTCTTAGTATTCACCTACTAATTCTATATTAACTATTACACAGACCCCAACTGACTTTTACCATGTACTTTTGTTCTCTTTGTAATCACCTACTAATTCTATATTCTCTAACTAATATAATATAAATATGTCACATATGCTGAAGCACGGTTGAAATCTAGGGCAACATAAACAGTCTACTTATGTTTTATACCAACCAGTTTTAATTTTCTTAGATTTTCACAAGGTTTGTGGAGTCACGAACCTGTAGTTTTTGGTATTATTGAAGACTGTGACACTGAAGAAGACGAAAGACCTAAAGTTGTCTGACAGAATAAAACAGCGAAGATGGCAGACCATCATGACCGAGCGATTGTTTAAATATTGCCTAAAATAAACTAATTTTAGATGGATAACAATGATCGTGTTAAAAAATCGTTAAGTATACGGGGTTTTGGGTTTAATGATGACTTCACCCATTTCAACTGTTGGCATTCTGATCGTTCTGGCTCGTTTATTCTCGCTGTTTTGACCGGCCAATCTGATTCAGCCTGCACGTGCATAATAGAAGGCACAGAAGAGTCAATCCGTACAGTAAATTTTCAAATGACAGTTTTATTTATAATTCATGTCAATTTATAAATAGAGTACTGCAGGCTAAAACAGCGGGGACAGACAGGCCAAAATGATAGGAATTGACTCCGCAGTTCAAATTTACAGTATGTGTCATAAGAATTGCAACATTTTATAAACGCTATTTTTATGTATCCAATGTATGCTAAGAATGTGTTAAACACAACAACCCTTATGATACCGTAGCACGGAGGTTTGGGTATAGCTTAACTGGAATCCATCAATTTTGTATGGTTCCTCTTCGGACATGTAGATTGTTCGTTTCGGATTATTTTTGGTCCTAATTCATCTTGTTGGTTTTGTCTGCCAGTTATCAGTAGTGAGTTAGTGATGATGATGATGAGAAGCCGAAACGCATCTGATAGACCAAAACGATCGAAAACAACCTAACTATAAGTTGACCAAATTGATCTGTCTTCAGTAAGCCAAGAAATAGAGGAAATTAAGAGAAAAAACATGATTCCAATGTTTTTGTGGTCTTTTCTGTTCACTGATCTTAACAAAATGTTATACTAGAGGTTTTTGTTGGCAAACTTGAAAAGTTGTGAAATT